ACAAACTAAAGTAGAAATGAAGATCAGGTAAGTAAAGAACTCTTCATTAGAATCCTTTTTATAATCTATATGAAGTTGAACACAAAATGTTCAGATTTTGCAGTGTACAAAATTATCAAGACGAATAATCGAATTCTACTGACTCATAAGTTCAATTTCAGCTGATCTGTATTCATCATAGATTTATTATTACTGTTATTATCACCATTAGTATTACCAAGATTAGCACGATTAGGATAATTAGAATTCCTGTAATCCGTTATATGAACTTCATTAGAAATGGTTTGGTTTCTTTTATACTTTTTACTATCAGTTTTCAAAAATCTACTTTTATCAAATTGCATCGGTCTTTTTTGAACATGTCAGTATGTATTGGGGAGATTTAGAAAACTTCTTGAAAAATGACAACAAAGTCTCTGAAAACATTAAGAAGCATCTTACCCAATTAGCATTCACTAAACGTTTTACCAGAAACATCTCGAAAGCGAAAAATCACATGTCCAGTTTCTGATTGGATGATTACATGTACTGCTACTATGTTTAGTAGCGTTCCAGAACTTTCCGGAAACCCAATGCCATATAAAATACCATAAAATCCGTAGTTTTTTCTGTACATATACGAACCTTTGGAGTAAAGCGGTTCTTCTATATTTCGCGCCTTTTCAAGTTGCTGTTTAGATCTAACCTGGGGGTTACTGGAAGAGCTTGGGAATCTAATCTAGCGTTCAATTAAAAGACTAATCAACTTCTTCGTTATCCTGTCTTTTTTCCAACCTTTGTTATCTAATCGCTTTCTATATGATAAATAATTCTCATTTTCAAAGATATTTTAAAACAGTCAATCTGTGACAAAGCCCATCTTAAATGTAGTTTTATCTAAATAAAGATCTTAACCAAAAAAATTAATAAAATCCTTACAAGTAACTGGCTTTAAGATGAATTTCTAAAGTTTTAGCGGCAGCTCATGACTGGTGGGATTCAATCATTTTCGGTGATTGAACTTAGTTAACAACAAACCTCAGACCTAAATTTCTTGATAGTTGCCTGTCATCAGTTGGGTGAATTGCGTCCAAACCTTAGCCATAAAATATCACAAACCGAAACGTCAGTACTATGTTTGAACTGGAAAGACCTAGTGTAATTCTGAGATAATTAAAATTGATCTAGTCCCTGACCAGTGATCAATTTTTATTTGTCTTGTCTAGTCTAGTTTATCTAAACAATCGAAGTTTGTCGATTTATTAAGTACACTTTGGTAAGATTTTATTCATAACACTATGTTATTGTGTTTTTTTATACTATAAATATGTACGCAATTGTTTATCTAGAACTTATCTTTCGAACTGATTTTCCTATACGTACGGTCACAAATGAAGATGATGCATGACTGAACATGAAACCGGCAAGTTTTGTATTACTAACTCAGAAGTCCTTTGAATTAATTATAAAGTTCTAAAAGTTCGTGAAATATCAAGTTAAACTCGGTCACCGGTGAGACTAATTTATCAACAACATTTGAGCTATTCCAAAGTTATCTTAAAGAAATGCACCAACTTATCAGTGTCTAAAGAGGGTTATAAATTAATGTAAGAAATCAGAATCGAAATTTAGAGTTGGAAATTAGGGTTAAGAATTAGAGTTAGAATATCACGCCAAAATCTAAGACTCACTATCTTGAATCTGATTAGTTTGTCTATAAATTATATTCTGGCCTCCATCAACACTATCCTCATTGTATCCAGTTTACAACAAGAATTTTAGCATCAAAAACAGTCTTGTCTAACAGACCATTTTCAATATAAAACAATCACAAAAATTAATGAAATAGTCAATTAGTATCCAAGTTTTATTTGAATGAGAGTTAGTCAATATCCTACACTAGATAACTTGTCCAGTCTTATGTTAACACTGTAAAGTAGATGGTAACTAAAGATAGTAATCTGAACTCTATTTCTATTAATCAAACGTTACATATTAAAGTAACTAGTGAAATAGGAATGTTAGTCTATGAATAGATTGATTTGATTCGAATTTTCTTCAGCTACTAATCAGATAAATACAAAAGTTTAATCAGGTTAATTTACAAATTAATATCAAAATTAATCCATGATAATTCATGCCAAATTACAGATAAATTAAAATGAAGGGGGTGGGAATAGCAAAGAGCAGGGGGTGGACAATTTACCCAATTAGTAAAGTTGCCAGTTAAAATGCATTTTACGATATGTAATTAATTTGTAAAGAATATTAATTAATGACCAGATTATTATTATTATTATTATTAAATTAATTGAATTGTTTCATAATCAAATGAAACTAATGAAATGTCTTAATAATCCAGATATTATCAGTAATGGGTTGTGGAAACTACCAAGTTTTTGATTAAGATCATGAACTGATTAGTGTTAGACCACCATTGAAAATCTAAAATCAATCAGTTCATGATCTCAATCAAAAACTTAATAGTTTCCACAACCCCTTACTGATAATCACCACGTTCTCACTAATGAATAACTTTGTGAGGGAATTCTTGGAGTATTAGTGAGAAGCCGTGACCAATGGAGATAGTCCGTGTCGGATAGAGGCAGGTATCTACCTCAGTAAAACGGAAGATATTTACGCATTTTCGTGGGTTGGTTGAGGTTAGACATTAACACCGTTGGATACAGGCCGGCTCAGTGGTCTAGAGGTTCGAATCCCAAGGGCAGGATTGTAGATGAGCACTGCTGAGGAGTTCCACAATAAGACGAAACAGCTGTCCAATGCCTCTAGGTTTTTAGTGGTGGTCTAACATCAACCAGTCCATGATCGTAATAAAAGAAATTCAGATTTTGTTTCGTAGGAACTATTTCATTAGTAGCATGTTACGGGATATCAAATAAATATATTAAATATCTGGTAGATAAACTTATTAAAATTTCGGCAAGTTTTTTTCTCATTCAATTAAATAAATCAAAATTTACTAGCTTGAATCATTAGGTTTATATGCATATAATTATGATGTTTAATAATGAAAGAACATAAAAATACTCTAAATACAATTTAGTGTGTAATTATTGTTTAATTGTTAGAACGCACTGTTAAAAAGCTTTAGGTCATGAGTTTGTTGGGTCATTTTTCGATTGGGTTTTTACAACCTTACGAAAAATAAATGTTAGGATGTCAGTAAGTTATCCACCTTCCTTCAGTATAACATTAAAATATTAATACATCTTTCATTAAACTTATCGGTCCATCTTATTAAATAACAACAATATGTGTTCCCAAACGAAAAGCAAAACCAATTTTCAGCTAACTAGCCTACAGAGACATCTATTTTTACATGTAGGGGTTCATATCTTCCCGCTGCTGATATTAAGGAGTGTATTACGAGTAATATTAAACGTGATAAGAATGACAGCAAATATCGTTAATTACTCACACTCGTTAACCCTTGTGGAGGAGCATAGGCAGCCCACAAACATTCTCCACCAACTCTATCCTCAACAGTCCTTGCCAGTTGTTTACAAGTGGTGTTCATTATTTTGACATCTACTTCAAATTCTCGATGCAACGTGTCTCCTCGTCTGTCACTTCTCTCTTTTCCTTCAGAATTCCGAGTCACAACTCGCCTCGTGATTCACTTTAATGATTTTCATAATATATGTTCTACCCACCTCCAAAATCTTCTCCTAATTTCTTATTCAATTGGAACGTGGTTTGTTCCCTTCCATAATAGGATGTTGCTGATGGTATCCGGTCAATGGACATTGAGTATCTTGCGTAGACAATTTCCCATATGTAATTGTACATATTTGATGATGGTTGCAGTATTTCTCCACATTTCAGCCCCGTACAGTATGACTGTCTTGAAATTCGTATTAAAGATTGTGATTTTGATATTTGTTCACAATTGTTTACAGTTCCATATGTTCTTCAATTGTAGGAATACTATCCTTGCCTTGCCAATCCTTGCTTTTACGTCTTCATTGGATCCTCCACGTTCATTGATTATGCTTCCTAGGTACTTGAAAGATTCCATATTTTGCAGAGCTTCACCATCAAGTGTGATTGGGTTGGTGTTCTCCGTATTGTATTTGAGGATCTTGCTTCTTCCCATGTGTATGTTGAGGCCTACTGATGGAGAAACTGCTGCTACACTGTTTGTCTTGATCTGTATTTGTTGACGTGCATGGGATGGAAAGACCAGGTCAGCCTACGTTTTAAACGACTAATGGTTCACATATCTAACTTCAATTGTTTCCTAAAGAAGGATCGTTGAAAATATACTGCTGACGAGTTTCATATTAGGACAAAAGAAATGTCCAAACTTCTTTATTCTTCAATAGTTGTTCAACTATGATTAGTTCACATTATAAACCATGAAATTCTTCCGTACTATTTAAACTTGTATCAATTGAATGTCAGTTATTTATTTATTCTGAAGAAGTGAGTCAGATCTTGCTTCCCATTCTGAAGAAGCGGTTTACATTAAATCACGAAACATCAAAAATATAATTTTTTTATACTCATTGAGATATAACAAAATAATTATATTTATTATCAACTGTCTACTCAGTCTCGCGCGCGAAAGCTTAATCTACTGGACCACAATAGGAAGAAACGACCATCCAGGGCTTCCAGGTTTTCAATGGTAGTCTAACATCAATCGGTTCATGATCTCAATCATAAACGTAACAATCTCTACAACCCCTAAGCTGATAAATAAATAAATGAAATTCTTTATAAATAAGGCAACTGAACTCTATATTTTAGTCTCTTTTTTCTGTTTATTAGAACTACAGGACGAACTATAGAAGCTGATTGAAATTGTTCATAACTATGTGAGAATGTGAATGAGAGAGAGAGAGGAGAGGTGAAGTGGAAAAAAACAGAAAATTATTTTGATCGACCGATCATTATCATTGAAATAATTAGGTTTTAATGAAATACAATAAAGATAGAAAAGAAACTGAAATAAGAATATAAGATGGAGGAGTGTATTTTTATTTTAAAAAATCATGTCCGAATTAATAGGTATTACTTGTCAGCACACTCTACTACTAAATATTATGTTCTTAACAAGATGATGATGATGATGATGATGATGATGATGATGATGATGATGATGATGATGATGATGATGATGATGATGATGATGATGATGATGATGATGATGATGATGATGATGATGATGATGATGATGATGATGATGATGATGATGATGATGATGATGATGATGATGATGATGATGATGATGATGATGATGATGATGATGATGATGATGATGATGATGATGATGATGATGATGATGATGATGATGATGATGATGATGATGATGATGATGATGATGATGATGATGATGATGATGATGATGATGATGATGATGATGATGATGATGATGATGATGATGATGATGATGATGATGATGATGATGATGATGATGATGATGATGATGATGATGATGATGATGATGATGATGATGATGATGATGATGATGATGATGATGATGATGATGATGATGATGATGATGATGATGATGATGATGATGATGATGATGATGATGATGATGATGATGATGATGATGATTAAAGAAACATAAGGTGATTGCGCTAATTTGACTACCTACCACTATTTTTCAGTTTAATTTACAGAAACCTATCTTTGTTAAATTAGCATTGTTGATCATGTAGCTTTCAAGATCCAATAGTATGTTTAACTCTGAACCTTGATGTCTTGTGTTTAATGCTTTTGGTGTTGGCCACTAATTTTAGTCTTTTTGCGATATTAAATGATCATCATTACAATTCATTGGTAAATGATTGCCTTACATTTAAGACCACCTAACTTTACAGGTCATGGCTTCTCATTAGAACCCCTAAAATTACCTGTTGGAATAAGTTTCCAGACAACACATGGTCTTAACTTATGTAAGGGGCTTTACACAATATCATGCTACATAGTTTAAGTCTTTGATTGACTTTGATCAAACAAGTGTTAAAAACCAGGAAGAGGTGAACCAGTGTCTCGTCCAAGTATGAGACTCTCCTGTAGTGTACAGTTGTGAACCCACCAGCGACTAAATCCAGAAACTCTAATTCAAACGATGATCGTTTGACCTTTGAAAAACTAAATTGCTCATGGTTCATATATCTGACCACAATCAATTCTCCTTAAGAGGGGTGGGCATGTATTGCTTACGAATTTCATGATAGAGTGAAGCAACTTTCCATTCCTTCCTGGTTTTCACTGGAAGCTATGTATTAAAAATGTTCTAAGTTATGTACTTATTAAAATCAATTATATTTGTTGAGTTGTGGTTTACTACTTTGCTCATATATCCAAACAGGCTATGAGTTTAATTAAACAACGTATATGTGATTAGTTTGAGCTGTTCCGTTTAGTTAATTTAGAAAGTGGAAATTTGTTTCCTACTCATAACAGATACCTTAACGGAGTTAGTAGATTTGTTGTTAGTGCCGATGGAAATACAAAACAACAAGTTACCACTAAATAACTTCTCTGTTTAAAACTTGTAACACGCTACTTATTTGAAAGAAATCAGTATATATCACGGTGTTTGTGATATTTAAACAATGTCAGAAGGGATTTGTGGAGATTTTAGAAATTTCACAGATTGAAATCATGAGTCAATTGAAGCTAGACCACTGTGGAAAACCTGGAAGAACTGGAAGACCGTTTCGTCCTAGTATGGGACTCCTCAGCAGTGTGCACCCACGATCCCGCACCCCGCAAGATCCGAACTCAGAACCTATCAGTCTCGCGCCAAGTGCTTAACCAGCTAGGCCACTGAGCCGGCTGGCATCTAATGATGTTGATGTCTAACCTCAACAAATCCACGAAGTTGAGCCACCGTATGCGATTGTCATTAGTGGGCTGATATCTCACAACAGACCTGGTTGAACTCCACTACTGAGGAGCCCCATACTAGGACGAAACGGCCGTTCAGTGCTTCCAGGTTTTCCATGGTGGTCTAGATTCAATTGACTCATGATTTTAATCTGTGAAATTTATACAATGGTCAATTTGTTTCGATCTAATGTATGCAAAAAGGTTATATTTCTCAGTCGTTATTTGTTAATACATACAGAATGTATAATCATCGAATAAGACTTACTTTCATCAATCATACAATTTCTTGAAAATACTGTTTCTTTTCCTAATTGACTTTTTCATAGTTGAATATAAATCCTCATGGAGACTATAAAACACACACAAAAAAATGTCTAGAAAGTTCACATGTTTTACAATAAAATTAATCATAGAGAAATTCACAATTCACGTGGTTAAAAAAAAGAGGAAAAAAAAAGAGGAAAAAAAACTAGAAATAAATAAACTTGTCACATTCATCATAAATAATTTTCTAATGAAAAGTAACGTTTTACTTATGACAGTCGTTTTTTGGTTTTAGAACTTCTCAAAGGATAGAATTTTGTTTTCTGTGAAATAATTAATATTTACATATTATATAGTAAGTTTTAGGTTTAAACATTAAGGATCAACTTTGAAAGGATCATATTAAGTAGTCATAAATATGTTCACACGATAATCACTTTATTATCGATTTATGTCGAAAGTTTTCTTTCCTACAAAATAGAATAATGAAAAAAAAAATTACCCGGATACTTCAAAAGAAACAGAATAAATTAACTCTTTCTCAATAGATGAATATTATTATACTACTGAATGATTGTTTGATATTATACTTTTCTAAAGGATTATATTCATGATCAGCTTAAGAAAATTATTTATTTGTTAAAGACTAAATTTTGATCATTTATGCAAATATTCGTCAAGATTAAGACGAATAGTTTGACAGAAATTGGGCGCCGAGTATAGAAAAGTCATTATATGTGAAAAATATATATTTGAAATAATCTCAGCCACTGAAATCTAAATAATTCCAACGTTTCGTCCAGCTAACTTGTCTGGACTTCTTCAGGGTAATAAACGAAATCAAACCCTGAAGAAGTCTAGACAAGTTAGCTGGACGAAACGTTGGAATTATTTAAATTTCAATCGCTAAGATTATTTCAAATATAATTTTCACATATAATAAATTTTGATCAGTTACTGTTTGTAAACATGGATCCTGAGCGGATTGACTCAATATTGTCATTAAATTACAAGTATTCGACAAAACCATCCAGTTCAGAGAACAAAACTATATCAAAAGTAGTAGTTACAAATAAAAATAGATATTATTTACAATAACTTGTAATAAAAACTTCATCTTTGTCAGAAATAGGGTCCTTTAAAATAGTAGTCATGACCTAATTTGAAGCTTTTGTCATTTATTTTTTTATTATTTTATAGGGTTGATGGGGATTGTTAAATTTTACATTTTGCATTAAGAAACTAACCCTTGTTAGACAACAATTAAAAACCTTAAAGAACATGGAAACTGTTTTGTCCTAATGCGGAGTTTTTAGAAAGTATGTGTCCATGACCCAGGACTTGATTTAGAACCTCCGGTCTCACGGAGAATGGTTAACTTCTAAACTATGGAGTCAACATCCAATGGTTTATGTATCTTTTTGTTAAATACATGGGAAATTCATAATATATGAGTAATAATTACCAATTTTAAAAAAAGGAATTTCGAAATAAGAAATACATAATTAAAAGTATAATATTGTAGCCTGTCAATGTAATCGAATTATTGTACAACTAAATTTATCTTAGTGATTCTGACTTATTTTCTGAATAATATATGCTTTTCTGTTCTTTTCAGGTTATTTTCATCACGAACTGACACTATCTGACTACCATTGAAAGCACTGAAACACTGAACAGCTGTTTCTTTCATTTATTTGAGCATTCATGATTCTATACGAGAGTGAATTTGAAACCTTCAGATCTATCTCACTTTTCCTACAGAGCTCGTTCTAGTCCCCTGAATATAGCAGAAACTACAGGGATTCAAGTCTACAACCTTGTTTATGCGTTCAGAAGTGGTTTTTCAACACGGTTATCTACTCCTTGGCTGTTTACCACCTTCGTATCTCTTCATCACTAAGTGATTTATGTGCACTGAATAGTTTTTTACTTCTTAATTCCGTGAGACTATAATTTATGGAAGACCTTTAAGCTACGCCTTAGTGACTACCTACTTACTAGGGCTAAACGAGGGTTATAAAGCAGTGTGAAGAATAAGGATTATGATTTACAGTTGATGGTTGGCAATAGGAATTAGACTTATGGTTTTCATTACGAATTGACATCAACTAAAATGCTGAAACCCTATTTAGACAAGTGAGTGAATGAATTTCGGGCCTAAATCCAAGATCTGCTATCCTAAATTTAATTGGTTCGTCTCACCCTTAATTCAAATAATTTTCAATGGTTGTTATAATAATGTTTAATTTTCATGGTTGTGACCTACTTTCCACACCAAGATATTGATTCAATCTTAGCATTCTTATCACTACTAGCATGGTGTACGCTATTTATGTATGTCGGCATAAACAGTACGTAACATCAACCGAAAGTGGAAAACCTGACAGCAGAAGGCTAAGAAGATCGAGTTTAAGAGAATGAAATAGAAAATAGAAAGAAATTGTGAACTGGAAAAATCATACAGAATGTGAAGGATAAATTATGAAAATTTGCAAATGAATTATTAAATGTGCACGAAGATACCCTGTAATTTTGTATTAAGGTATTTTGGCTGTCCACAGCTGAGCTTTCTTTCACAACACTAGTATCCATTTATCATCAACCTGTACTTTTTACTTATTATTACTAGTTATGTAATCGACTACACCATTATAGTTAATTAACCAATTACCTGGTTGATTATTTTTTTAAGTGTATGAATGTAACAAATTACTGTTTTACAGCCTGAAGATTATATTAAAAATAATTTTATTCAATTATATTTACTGTTCTGGATATATTACTTACAAACCAATCAATCAAAATTCAACACTATGAACATCATGCTTATTACATGACTGCAGAGTCCTTGATTTAACCTTGTGTGTATGATCTTCGTTGTATAATTATATGTTGGTTTATGCTGAAACAAAACAGTAAACTAATGCTCACCTGTTTTTCAGTGATTCTCTAGTGAATGTCTGTTATTTATTTATTTAATTTTATTTAAACACATAAACATTAGTACAAGAAGGCACCGAATAGATATGCGCCACATAAATCATTCGATTTGTGTGAGAGCTAGGATACTGCCCGGGTGCCCAGACCGAAACAGGTGGTTTTCTTAGGGGGACACATCCCGAGCCTTGGACCTACAGATCTGATCTACAAGGCAGTGAAGCAACGTCAGGAGATGCAGTCCCATGGTAGCCGGTGACCAACGATTGGTTCATACATTATTTGTTCCTGCAGGATACTGGAGCCCATGTGCACCATTCGTTTGGAATCAGGGTTTTCCAACTCCCTTAGGTGGACTCTCCTTGTCCACCAACCCGGGTAAAACACCGGACATTCGCTTTTCGTCCTCTCAATTTCGTAAACAACACCCGTGGTGCGAGAAGTCAGTGAGTAGGACCTCCCTGGCAGAGGCGGTATACGCGTGCCCGTGTGAGAGCATTTCGAGACGGAGGGCG